GTCAGTGCGAAAGAGATCAGCGCTTGAGAGTGACCTGAGAGTGATTTTGAATATTTTGTGTTTAATTTTGAGTTTAATGATGATAATCGGCGTGTACAAGTTGTCTACTAGCAGTGGAACATTATCATCATCGTCGCTGTAGTCGAATTGTACAGATAGCATGAGCTACGGGCGCGTATCGGACCCGTCTCGTTGTATGGACATGCTGTATTGAAACCAGATTAAAGTAGGACTTGGGCGGCCGATGGCAGCCGCACAACTATCTTGACTTACTCTCCCACGCATGCGGCAATCGGAGTGCGGTGTCTATCGATCCTAATTGACCCAATTTTGCAGAAAAAATCCTTGTTGATGCGGGAATGACGCCGTCGTTCGCGGCAAAATACTTATAGGTTGAGTTGGGGGTAAGGGGGTAAGGGGTGATCAAAAGTACTTCACCAACAAGTTGCCGTATTACGCTAGACGACAAGTGTTGTACAAGACATATGTACCGATAAGTGTACAAAACTACTATACGATAACTGTGAAAGACGCTGTACGAAATTGCTGTACAAGAATATTGTACAAAAATGTAGTACAAAAATGTTGTACGAAAATGTTGAACAAAAAAATGTAAAACATATTGTACAAAAATGTAATAGTTATGTACAAAATTGTCTAAGAAATGTCTAGCATCATGACCGCCGCGATGTCATGCGCTTGCGCGTCCAGAACGGTTAGCGATACGGCCACATTCGATCCGACAGCGCGTTCACTAAAAAAGCAAGTGTGGTTACCGGTGTCCTAACCAGAAAATTGCCGTCAAGTAAGATCTCGTCGAAACCAAGCGTACAAAAACCTATTTCCCTTGTCTGGGCTCTCAGCGATGAGCAATGATGTTGCGCAGATTTCTTTCGAAGCGATCGATAAACATTCCAAAGCAACGCGGCCAGTTTGGCTGGCACAAAGTCGCTATTTTGGGGCAGAAAACTTCGTGTGAAGAATCACGCATACGAAATCGTAAACAGTCCCTCGTGCAACCGCATTGCCGGAAACATAATTCGTGCGCCCTACACCCCTCGCTGCATTGGCGTGACGCTTTGGTGAGAGCGCTCAGCGCCTGACTGCGCAGACCGCTCAACGCCTCGTATCAACAGTGGTGTCGTGTGTGTCAGTCGCCGTGGGAGGGCTCATTCGAAAGTCACGTATCCAAATACGCCTCCCCAGAGAGCTAGAGCTCGGTTGCAATACATTCGATGCAGAACTGCGATCCGGTTACTGGTGTCCAAACCATAAAATGGCCGCCAAATAGGATCAAGTGACTCATGCTACATGGCACGAAACGACGATTTTCCAGAGTACGTTGATGGATGCTTGATCGTATACCTAGCTGTTCGTTTGGTCCACGGCGATGTCTGGCAAGGATTCGTGTGGAATAGCCGCTCTGGTTTAGCCTCGTCTGAACCGACCCGAAGGTATCAAGAGTGCTACATTTCAGTTGTACCGCACACGAGGCTTAGAGTCTCCTGCTATTCATCTGCTACTCAGTTTTTTGGTCATAGTGCTCGAGTTCAATGGATAGTGTATTGTCTATATGTGTTTTTGGGAACGAATTTGCTATTGGCGACGATAAGGCTGAATTGATACTCACAGACTTATCAGCTATCCGAATACATAACAGTATTTCAAGATGACATTTTTAAATGGTGTGAGCACGACCACCTCAGCCACGATCGACGCCGCACAGACGCGTTAACGCAAGGCCACACCGGTTCCTGTCGTTCTATAGCATCTCGGTATCATGGAGATGAAGGTTTGGACGCCGAACGCAGCGCATGCATGCGAATTGCAACGTTGATTTTTCGTGGTGGCCGAATAAACACCCAAATGCACAACGTGTTTTCGCGCAGTTCGAAATCTCGATCGACTCCGACGCGGGCAGCCACAGTTGGATTTTTATATGGACTGGCCCAGTGACTTGCGTTTGGGACATGGTAGGCGCTTGGGCTATCACAGCAACGTCGTACTGCCGAGGGTCGTTTTTCGCCTACTTGTACATAGAAATTCGAGTAAAAATGCTTACTTTTCGCAAAAGCGGAGAGCGCTATCTCTGTTGTATGGTATCGGAGAACATATTACATTGACGATGGTGGTTCTAGAGCCCGCTACGGCGCCGCTTGCATTTTATTATACTATTTGAATACATACACTATACCGGGAAATATTGGTTTCAAATAGTATGCCCAATATATTGCCAAGAACCCTCGCTGTAGAGCTCGAAAGGTGACGACATAATATAGCATTTCGTACTTTCCAAAGTGCATTCTATCATCATATTCCTTCATCATCACCTATAACTAGCGTGAGCCCAAGTCATGATGAAAAACGTCAATCGACATCAACAATCGAAAAAAAGAGATAGCAAATCGACCCAGAGCCAACTTGAGAACGTTTCGGTACTTTCGCGACAATATGCAAAGACTTTGTAAGGAAGATAACGCGGAACACGTTGATATATGCGTCGCTTGGACGCAGCCGCTGTCGACGCAGCCGGCAGCCTCCTCTTTATCGCACTGCATGAGAAGCGCCTCGACGACGCCATGTTGAAACACTTGGTCGAGGGCTATGCTCGGTGCGGCCGTCCTCGACGCTGGCGACGTTGGCCAACACTTCGACGAGCGGTCCGACAGCAGCAATCGACAGGTTCTTGCTGCCCTTGGCGATATGCCGCAGCGTCTCGTCGAGCGACGGAACTGCCTTTGCAATGAAGCCGCGCGTGATGGCCGCGAGGACGCCATCCGAGTGTAGTAAACACCTGCGGCGAGGTGCCGCTGCGTGCCAGGGCCGCCTCCCAGAGCTGCGCGTAGAACGTACCATGGGCAACCACCGCGCGCTTCAAGGTGTCGTTGCCACGGACGTAGCTGATCAGCAAGGCGAGTGTCGCCGAGGCCACCGGTGCGTTGGCCGCCGGCTTGCAAAGCGTTGTGTAGATGGTGGCCATGTGCCACAGGAGCTCCAGCGCCGTCGCGTCGTCCTGCGCCGTCTTGGAGGTGAAGAAAAGACCGGTGAGGAGGCTTGTGTACAGCAAAAAGCTGTCGGTGGCCGAGACGCCGCGCAGTCGAACGTGTCGGCGGCGCCAAGGAGCCGGCGCCACGCCACGGCCACGAGGTTGTGTGTGAGCGCAATCGATACCTCGCCCGACTCGGCGATCGACGTGAGGAGCGATGCGAGCGGCGCCGGCGTGTGCTTGGATTTGCACCCGCCCTCACCCGCCCAGTTCACCCGCCCATTGGGCGGGTGTTTTAATGAGGCATATGCCAAAATGAAATATCTTTCTAAATGTGGCAAATGCCGCATGAAAACGGCCGACACGAGATTTTGCGACGACTACCACATAAATTGTGGGGACCTGACAAACGTGCCTAATAAAAGCGAAGAAGAGAAGAAGAGAAGATCGACTTTCGAAAGACGTCCTATCGCCCCATCATCCCGTCGTCCATCGCCATGTCCTTCGAAAGTTGACCTTCTTGCGCCGTTGAACGATAAAAATAGATGCCGTATAAAATACACTTGATTTTTGTATGTTTTTTTGCCCCATAAAGGGATCTATTTTCGGCCGAATTTCTACCAATGGTCGTGCGCTAAAATCCCAGATACAATCCGGATGCTTGTCAGCCAATGCCTATGCTCCATTTGGACCGCCAGCCAATGCCTATGCTCTATTTTT